AATGAACATTTCCATCCTTCACTTGGGTGATGGGGAGGCTCCCAGTTCCCACCTAGAGGCTTTAGCCCTGGAAGCACCAGGAGACTGTGCTGTGATGGAAATGCCTTATTGTGGGATCTTCCTGGTGTTAAGACTGCAGTGACTTGCAGGAGGTGCTTCCAGTAGTCAGGGCTTTGAGACCAAGGAAGGGAAGTTCTGAGGGGAGGGGAGGAAAGCAGGGAGCTAGTGTGTGGGAAAGGGCAGTTTCCCTTTGCCAGATGAGGAGTTGTGGAGATGATGTGAGGGTTTCACAGTATTACAGGCGTTTTATCCATGTGTTTACTATCACAGAAGTGTCCACTGAGAACTGGTTAAGATGGTAAATTTTGTCTGGTGTATTTTACTACAATAAAATTGGGAGAGGCCATAGTAAACAGCGCCTGTCATTGGCAGGAGCAGAATTCTGTCCAGAGAGAATGATCCCATCACTTTCCTTCTCTTTACTCTGGATCTTAAGAAACTCCAGCATCTGTGATTCAGGGTATTGGTTAGTGGTGGTGGCAAACACTGAGACTACTGAGCACAGCTCTCCAAAAGCGTGGGAAGCCTTAGTTAAAGGGGGAGCACAGGAGGCTGGAGAGATGGCTCCACGGTTAAGAACACTCGCTGTTCTTGCAGAAGACCCGGGTTCGAATCCCAGCACCCACATGGCAGCTGGCAGCTGACAACTGTCTGTAACTCCTCTCCAGGTCCTGGGGATCTGACAGCCTCTTCTGTCCTCCACGGGCATTGGAAGACACGGGTGCACTTACCTATATGCAGACAATACACGCATACACATAAAGTAAAATAAAAATAAAAATTAAAAAAGGGGGGAATGCGGAAGGAAGACCCTCCAGGGCCACCGAGGGACGTCGTGGAGACGTGGCTGGGAAGCGGGCAGTTGAGCCGGGAGGGGCAGAAGCTCGGTTGCAGCTGGAGTCTGTGATTACCCATCCAAGGAGGGAAGAAAGGAGAACAGGAGAAAGGAAAGTTAGTGGAGGGGGTAGAGGTTGGGGAGAGGAGGAGGGCAGCCGGGATGACAGAGCCTGACAGTCCCCTTCCAGACAAAGGGCTTGGCGGGAGGCGAGAACCCCAACGCGCCAGCTGAAAGAGGCAAGGCGGCCCCTTCCGCAGGCAGCGAGCGGAACTGCGCGGCCAAGTTTCACGCCGCGACAGATGGGTCAAGCCGCCCGGCCCAGTTTCTTCCCAAACACTGATCTCCATCGTTCCCGGGCCCCGCAGAGGACCCCAGACCCGGCCGCGGCCCTTCCCGCCAGAGCTACCCACTCAGCCCTCTGCGCAGGAGAACGTGGCGTGGACCGTGGCCACCACGCTGGTCCACTGGGCCCTGCGCCCTTCTTCCCTCGGCGTCTCAGGGGAGGCCGGCAGCAGGCGCTCTCCGGGACGCCTTCCAGGCTGAGGGGGCGAAAAGGCAGCCGGGAGGCAGCTCTCCATCACTCTTTGTTTCTGCTCCCGGCTGGGCGCGGGACCCAGCCCCGGAGGGGGCGGGACAGCCGATGGGGCGGGACCGGACAGCGGACCCGAAGTTCCGCCGGACGAGACAGCCTCCCCGGCGTCCCCGGGAACACAGAGGGCCCCGAAGGCCTGGGGAAAGCCCTGCCCGGCTCCAGGGGCAGCTCAGGCCTTGCGTGGAGCTAGGCTTGGGCCTCACCCAGTACTCGCGACCACACAGTCCTTCCAGGAAACCCTTGGGGTGGGGTGCTGGACCCACCCGAGGGGACTGGACCCCAGCTAAAGAGCCAGCTGTCATACTGGTGACCAGCACGAGGCCAGCAGCAACAACTCCACCGTCGTCTTTCTTGCGCGCGAGCTAGAAGCTCAGACCCACCGCGCTGGATTAAATCATGTAATTAGGAGCTACTTTAATGAATATTGTTACATTTCAGGCGATTTCATGAATGCCCTTTTCTTTTCCACCGGCGGGCCTCATAAACAGAATGAGGTAGTTGAGGTTATTAATAGAAATAGGAGTGTTCTTCTTGGGATTCGAGAGCGCGCCACTGCGCGGTTGGTATAAATGCTTTGCTTACAAACTCGCGCGCCAGCGTGTGCCGGCGGACCGGGCACCCCTGGAGGGTCCGAGGGACCCCACGCTGCATCACGCTGGGCCTCGCCTTCCCCTCTACTTCCAGGCCTGCAGACAGTCTAGGCCGCAGCTGGGATAAAACCAAGGCGCGAGGTAGGGGTCCCAGCTGCGAGGCCCCGCGCAGGGTCCTGGTAATGGGGTAGATAGTGGGGTGGGGGGGTGCTGCCTCGCCCGGCAGATCTGCGCCTTCAGGGGTCGCGCCATGGCCCAGTGTCGCCAGTCCTTATTAACCTCGCAGCGCGAGGCGGCTCCCCCTTACAGGCTGCAGTTTTCGGTGGAGCCGGGCCTCTCCTGGGGGCTCTTGGGAAACTGCCGAGGCGAGAAGAGACCGCAGAGGTCGGATATTAAACCAGCGGGGCACTGAATGACTTTTAGCAGAAACCCTGCCAACAAACTGCCTTCCAGCCTGCGCTTAGCGGCAGGCAGGAGCATTTGCAGACGTAGTGCTTGGGTATTTGTGCGCACAGAACGCTAGGGTACACGTGCGAAGCCGTCTGAGTTCCCCTCTATTTGTCCTGTCCACTCAAGGAAAAACCCAGAGTTTGGAACTCTTTTGAAGACCAGACTGGGAGTCACCTGGGAGTCCTCTCCTGGAGGAAACCAAAGCAGGTTCGCATTGGAGGACCTTCCGGCAGAGTTGACCCCCCAGGACGTGACTCCAGCCTAGGCCCCAGACCCTACTCTCCTGATCTGTTTCCAGAACCAGGTCAGTGGTCAGAAAGCATCTGACCCAGGCAGCCAGGATAGGCAGGGGCCTGCTGTCGGGTTTCAGGCTCTAGCCTAGTCCCTGCTGGGGTGTGGAGGATTGCAAGCTGAGCTTGGCTTGGGCTAGGCAGAGACCTAGCAAAGCCTGGGGCAGGCAGGTGGCTGAGCTCCAAGGAGCAGGGGCTTTTTTCATAAAGGAGCTCTCCTTTCACACTTGAAATCCACCTCCTGTAGGGTGACCTTCTAGCCAGGTCCCAGTAGTGGATCTCAGTGTCCTTATTCTGGGTTCAGATCCAAGGCCTGCAGCTTATGGGAGACCCAGGCAGAATCCAGGGATGTGCAAGATCTCGGAAGGCCTGTATCTCCTGGATGGCAGGAAGCAGATCTCCGCTTGGCCCAGGTCCTAGGTGGGAGCTCAAGGCTGGTGCAGCAGGGACTCTCTGTGACACCGCTCTGGTCACAGCTTTGAAGAATGAGAAAAGGTAACAATGTATGAGCAAAAGGAAACCTTGAGCACTCCAGTGATCTGAGGGCCTGTCCAGTGTCCAGTTCAGACCCCTATCACAGACAGAACAAAACAAAACCCTGAAGACTTCCACTTCACTGTAAGGCTGGTACCTGCTGGTACCCATGGGACCCAGGAGCTCTCTTCCTCACAAAGGTACATCCCGCCTCCAGTGTTAAAATTTGAAAAAAAATTTTTTTTAAAGATTGATGTAGCTATATTAACTTTTTATTAAAACGAGATGGAGGCCGCTAGAGAAATGGAGGTTGTGCCAGAGTTTTATTGCGTTTTGTACTTTAGCCCTCTAAAGTGTGTAGAAGTGAGGGTCCCGCCCCCACGACCTGGCATGGAACTGTGGCGGGTGGCCAGGTTTTTGGTGCCCAAGCAGTGGCTCCAGCTCTCTCCCTCGAGGGCTCACAGTGGCAGGGGCAGGGGCCCGGCCTGCTGGCCCATTGTCGCCTGGGAAGCTGGATGGCCCAGTTAGCGTTGGGCAAAACGTGCCTAGAAGGTCGCCATCAGCAGTAGATTTTCTTGCTCTCACAGTTTCTCTTACTGGGAGGAGAAAACTTTTTTTTTCTTCTTTTAAGCCAAGAAAGTTTGGAGATACAGCAGCTTGGTTTCGTGGGCAGTTTACCACCCGCCCTCAGATCCCGACCGTTTCCCAAGCCAGTGCCTTCCCCACGATCCCGCCGGAGAAGTCGCACGCCCTTTCCGGGGGGGGGGGGGACGAGAGGAACCGGGTAAACCAAACAGCACTTGGAAGTGGGAGTGCGTCTCTGGAGGAGTGCATGTTCCTCCGCAAGTGCTGGCGTCCAGTGCGCATGAGCGGCGGGGAGGGGGTGGAGGGAACCTGTTGGATTTCAAACTTGAGTGGGAGGAAGCAGCATCCCTTCCTCCCCGAGACTTTAATTACTTGGGCTGGTCTGTGTTCACGTGCTAGGTATTCAAAGGCTAGTACTTAAAAGAAATAACCTGGCTCTGTTTCGGGGATAGGGGCAGTACCGGGCCCTCGAGAGGCCGCTCAGGGCCATATCTGGGCTCAGAAACACAAGTCGAAAAAATAACCATTCCACCTCGGACTGCCAGCATTTATAATAAAGAGTTGCTTCTTTTTATTTAATGTAACTTTCAAGAATTTAAACACACAAAAATGCACGGGTGGGAATGTTCACAATTTTGATAACCACAGTTGTAAATAGAAACATTCATTTCTCATAAGATTATAAATATTTGATACTGAAACTGTAAAATGCACATTTTATAAACTAAAAAAAAAAAAGACATTTGCTTCCTGCTAAAAAGGCAAGTCATTTCATCAAGTTTCCCAAGCAGCAGATGGTTACTCACAGAATTTTAAATTGCAACTTTTGTTTTTTATAATTTCCTTTTCAAAAAGGTTTGCATTATTATGTACAAAGTGAAACTATTGTTGTAATGAAATAAAGAGGTTTAAGGCAAAGAGAGAAGTCCACCTTCAGTCCTCAGGTGGGCAGCCAGACTCCCAGATCAGCTCTGGGCACACCTCTGGGACACTGTGCTGACCCCAGGTGGACACTGGACACCTTTCCCATCCTAAACAGAAGACAGTGAGTTCTATATAGAGATAATGTGTTTGCTTATATATATATGTACTTGGTGGGGAATATAGTGAATATATTTAATTTACACTGTACCACACCTTCAAAAAATAAAATGTATATTTTCTTAAAAAAACAAAAGACAGAAAGTGATAAGAAATGATTATTTACACACTTCCTCTAGATTTAGGAGGGTTCTGAGTTCCTTTTAAAGTCAAGGCAGCCGCGGGTTCCAGAACCCAGCTTCACACAGGCCTGGGGTGCGCGTGCACATGCATACACGAATATGTACACATACATGTATTTACCTTGGAAGAATGTTCTCTATAGCAAACGACCAGTCCAAAAAAATAATGAAACAGAAAAAAGAGGGACGCAAAAGGAAAGGAAGACAAGCCAACTCGCTCTGCCCGTCCACTGCAGCGGACCTCGGCGGGGAATCGGGTCGGGCCACGCACCGGTCCTCCACCCCAGGCCCCTAGTGCTGTGGGCCGGTGCCTGGGGTGGCAGAGTCGGGCTGGCTGGCGGCTGGCCCGGGGCTGCGGGACGGGGGACAGCGACACAGACAGACGGAAGGACGCACCGAGGAGGCGCCTCGGAGGAGGCGGGAAAGGCCGGAGTTGAGAGGTGCGGAGGAGGCCACGGGGCTCCCCTCGACTTCCAGGCCAGGCCCTGGTGCCCTCGAGGGTCGGCTTAGACTATCCCGGACCTCAGCCAGAGTCGCTGCCCAGATCCCCGCGCTCCCCGGCCGGGCTCGGGGCTGCAGCTTTCTTTCCAAGCCAACACACACACAGTGGCAGAGCCAACAGACCCAATAGGAGCTATTTATTCACAGTCGTGTGAAATGCAGCAATAAAAATCTTTGGACTTTAGCAAGTTGCTTTTAAATTTTCTTCTTTTGAAATAATAATTAAAAAAGTGTCCGATGTCCCATAATGGAGCTTAGGGGATTAAAAAAAGAAAGAGACCCTAAGCAGCCCCCTTTGCAAAAAAAATAATAATATTAATAATAACATAAAATTATAATCTCTTAAACACAAAAAACTCGAGAAATATTTTATAGTCAGATATTTTGGGTTTTACATCACCTGTAAATTATATGTACATAGAATATTGCAGAAACGTACCTAATACACGATATCTTCACTAATAATGCTGGTATAATCTTTATACACTGGCCCTTTATTCACGGTTTTAAATTATTGCATTGTTTCTCGCGGCCCGAGGCCCGCCCGCCCTACTCGCTGTCCGACTTGCCGTCCTTGGCGGTGGTGGAGTGGTTGTACAGGCCTTGCGCCATGAGGTGCACCGCCAGGGTGTTCTTGTTACCCGCGGCTTTCTTGATCTTGGCGCGTTTGTTCTGGAACCAGATCTTGATCTGAGACTCGTTGAGGCTGAGCTCCTGCGCCAAGCTCTGGCGCCGCTGCTCTGTCAAGTACCTGTTGGTCTGAAACTCGGCCTTGAGCCTCTGCAGCTGCTCCGCGGTGAAGGCTGTGCGCGGCCGCTTGTCCTCTTTGTTCGGGTTCTTCTTCTTTGGTTTTCGAGACCTGGGACCTAGGTGGCATGGAGGACACAGGGCAGAGGTTACGAGGCTGGAACCTACCTCCTTACTCAGGGCCCAGCCACCCAGACACGGGGGAGGGGGGTGGATTTGCAGAGACTTGGGGTGGGGAGTGACTGGCCCAAGGACACACAAGGCTGAACAGCTGTGGGTGCAGGGGCTGGACTTGAGGTCCGGCTTGTATCCTCTGACTACACCTTGGAAGGAAAGGAGGTAGGTCCACAGGCTAGCTGAAAGGCCTATCACAAACTAAGTTGGGGTCTGTCCCCCCAAAAAAGCTAACTCAAGGAGAAAAGCCCAAACCAAAAACTTTCTGGCCTAGTTTTTGTTTTCTCCTCTCCCAAAATAAGGGGCGGGGTGGGTGTTAGGGTAAAAGTGAGGGGTGAGACTGAAGGGGGCAGAGTAGTAAGGATCAGGAATCCTGTGCCCCACGCCACCCTAAGGGGTGCCAAGGACACTAGGGTTCAGAAGGAGGGGCCAGGACATGGGTCCTCCTCAGTCCCTTCCTAACTGGTCTCCAGGCCTGCAGATATCAAGTTCATTGTTTCATTGAAGGACACTGGATGAAGCACCACATCCTTTAAGGAGCCAGCCCCCCCACTTCAGTCCTCCTGTCCGGGGGCTGGGCCTGGCGTCTGCATGGGTGCTGACCATGGTGGCCTGGGGCTGTCTCACCAGAAGCAGGCCACTCAACTGACCTTGGGCAGGTATATAAGGTGATCCTCACAACAGCTTCCCCACAAAGGGTTCCACTTCTGGCCCCACCCCCTTCTCCCTGTGGAGCTGCAGGCCTTTGGGTCCCTGGACATGGCCATCCAGGGGGAAGGGTTAGGGTCTTAGGAGCCTAGGAAGGAGAGGAAGTGAGTTCTCTTCGTCGGTGTCAGAAGATTCACAGGGGTGCCAGGAAAGGCCGGAAGGGCCATTGACTGGGAATAGCGACCTTCTCGCTGGGTCTTTACGCCTATGAGGGGCATCAATCAACTTCGGAGGCGCTGGGTCTCAGCTCCAAGGAGCACCCTTCCGCTGGAAGCGGAAAAGGCTGGAGAGGACTGGACCCTCCCCCCTTCCAGGCCAGGGACAAATGGGTAACCCTGCTCTGAGAAGGCGGCGGAGGGATCTCGCCTGAAGGTGGCCAGACCGTACCCGACTCTTCCACCCGCTGGACAGGGGGTCAGGGAACTACCCAGCCAGGGAATGCGGGTCGCGCCAGGCATGGAGAGCTCCCTCGCCTCTGACCTCTACCTGGGCGCTCACACCAGGAGACAAACCCGAAAGGGCCCACAGGCACAAGAGAAGGCCAAGGGGCTGCAGCTCCAGTCACCGCCTTTGAGTTGTACAGCGCGTCCTGTCACACCCACGAGCCACACGCACCCCCAGCGCACACCACCTTGGCATCCACACTTAGCGTGACCAGCGCTGGCGCTTCAGGGGCGCCGGGCCCACCCCAGGGAACCCTCCAAGATGCTAGGAGATGGGGTTGAGACCTTGGGAGAGGCCTGGTCTACTGGGACCTAACCCTGGAGAGAGGAGAGAGGAGAGAGGAGAGAGAGAGAGAGAGAGAGAGAGAGAGAGAGAGAGAGAGAGAGAGAGAGAAGGGAGGGAGGATGGATGAATGAATGAATGAATTTCAGGCTCCACTGGCTGGCTTGTGGAAAAGAGCAGCCTCTGTCCCCCAAACTCCTCCAGCCTTAGAACATGTTCTATCAAACACAGATCAGCCTCTGAAGACTATTTCATAGAAAGAAAATCTCCTTAAAAATCACACTTTCCTCCTCCTGTGAATTCTCTTAGGAGACAGAGCCAGGCCTTGGGAAGGACCCTCTCCTGTCTAGTCTTTCCTAAACTCCCAGGAAAGAAACATTGCTCGCAGGAAAAGAGATTTCGTTAAGCCCAGAAAAATCAGCGAGGCGAGCCACGCGGGCCACGCTGCAGACTCCCGCGGCGGCCAGGGCTCTGCGCGGCCTGGACTCGCGCGCTGGCGCCGCACAAAGCCGGCCTCGACTGGAGGCCGGTCTGCATTGTGAGCCTATATGTTAATTAAATATTAACAAAGGAGGGAGGCAAGAACAATGGAGCAAATTTCAGATCTGGCTGGGAAAAATGGATTTCATCAAAGACGTGTTGCTGCGGGAAGGCAGCGGAGGGACGCCTCCGTCTTGCCGTTATCACGGGTAAAGGGTACCCGCAAAACAACTGAAGATTGAGGGTGAGAGGGGCCTCACCCAGTCGGGGACAAATGAAGCCCACTGCTAATGGCGCATCCCGCATCTAATGCAGCCCATGGTTTCCATGAGCTTTAAAAAAAAAAAAAAAAGTCCCAAACCTCCGCACACCCCCTCTTAAAAGCTGCCTGTCTCCCGCTAGCAGCAGCGCCTGCAAACCCTGGACGAGCCTTTCGGTTTGGGTGTTGGAGGCTCTGGCTGCGCCTTCCTGGAGCTGGGCATTGGCAGGCTGCTGTGTGGCTCAACGCAGTTCTTCAAATAAAGTGACAAAGGGGACAGGGCACCGTTTCCATCACCTTCCTGCAGTCCTCCCCCCTCCCCAGGGGTCACTTTAGGTCAAAGGTGAAAAGAAATGCAATCAGTTTGGGGGTGACTGAATCTGGGGGACTCTGGACCCGCGGGGGGCTGGGTGTCTGGGAACCTCTCCCAGTCCGGACTTTGGAAAGCGGGTGTGTGTGAGACTCAGTGCTCACTTCCAGCCACCCCACCCAATTGACTATTGTGGGACAGGGCGTTAGGGGCGGAAAGAAGATACCCCAAAAGGTTACGGAAAAGAGAGAGAGGAAGAAAAAGGGGAAAGGGGGAGAGAGAGGGAGAGGGGGGAGGGAGGGAGGGTGGTCTACAAAGCGAGTTCCAGGCCGGCTGGAGCTAGAGGGGAACCCTGTCTCAAAAAATTGGGAGAGAGAGAGAGAGAGAGCGAGAGAGAGAGAGAGAGAGAGCGCTAGCTTTCCTTTTTGCTGTCCTAAGTCTGTGCCCCTTGAATCAATATCGCTTCCAGCTGCCTGGCGGCTGTCCTGGCCGGCTTTGGCGAGACAGTGCCGCGGTCGGTGAGGAGTGTGCGTCTTTGTGTGCACAGGCAAGAGAAATTGCGATTCTTTTCCTCTATGTGAATTTCCTGGCAAGTGCCCTCCCCAGCCCTCCTGGGTCTTCCCGCCGCCGGCTGGGGGACTCCGGGTCCTAAGCACTCACCTGAAGAAGGCCGGTCCGAGTAGCGCGTGCAGTAGACCCAAGCCGGCCAGAGCATGGGCTGCGCGCCCAGGGTGGCGCTGGCCTGCGAGCTGTCTGAGTCCGAGCTCACCGACAGGTCGCCGCCGCCCAAGCCTCGGGCCTTGAGCGCCGCGTCCAGGGGACCCCCGGGGTCGCCGGCTTTCGTAGCACCGCCGTGCAGCGAGAGCGTCTTGGATCCGCCTTCTCCGTCACCCGGAGAGTCGCGGCCGGCGGCGGGAAGCGGTCCTCCGGTGCTGGGTGCGCATGGCGGGTTCTGCCCGGACTCCCTGGCGCCCGACCCCAGGAGCTGTTCCGCTCCGCCCGCGCCGCCGCTTCCCTCGGCACCGCCGGCGTCTCCTTCGCCGCCTCTTCCTCCGGCGGCGCCGGCACAGCAAGTCCCCGCGTCCTTTCTGCGGCCGAACTCAGGCCGCAGGATGTTATCGATGAAGAAGTTGGTGACGCGGTGCGGATGCTGGTGGTTGCCCGGCGCCTGCAGGGCTGCGGGCAGCATCAGAGCCCGCCGGCGGCCGGTGTCCGAATCGCCCGGGCTGCCGCCGCCGCCAGAGCCGCCACGGGGGCTGGATTCCGGCTGCCGCTGCGCCTCGGCCGCCGCTTCGCTGGGCTTGGGCTCATTCTCCATGCTTCGCGGAAGATCCCAAACTGGCTCTCCGCTGGCCTCCTCCCAAGCCGCCTTCGCCCGCCCGCGGACACCCCCGCGCCCCGGCGCAGCCGAGTCCTCCGAGGGCGCGAGCGGCGGCCGCGGCCGGACTGGGCTCCTACAGGTCTCCGGGCGCGCTCCACGCGGAGCCACGTTCGAATCCACGAACTGGGTTAGAACACAGCGAGAGTCGGCCGCTCGCCAGGACGCCGGGAGATTCAAAAGAGGGCTGTCCCGGTCTTCGCGGCTCCCCAGGCTCTCCAGTCACCGTGCTCCAGCGGGGACCCGGCTCCGCGCTCCTCTCCGCGCCCGGCTCCCTCGGCTCCGGCGCCGCCGCCTGGGCCGCCCCGGGAGAGAGCTGCGCGCATGCAGGCAGCGCTCCCCCACGCTCACGCCCTCCCCGGCCTGCTCGGGCCGCCGCCGC